AATGTCTACAGAGTAATTTCACTGCCTTAAAACGTCCTCTGTATTCTTCCTATTAATTTCTCACCACCACCTCCTGGCAACTACTGATCTTTATTGTCTCCATAGTTCTGCCTTTCCTAGAATATCATATATTTAGAATCATATAGTATGCAGCCTACTCAAATTGGCTTCTTTTACTTAGTAGTATGCATTTAAGGTTCTTCCATGTCTTTTTATGGCTTGAGAGTTCATTTCTTTTTAGCACTATATAGCATTCCATTGTTTGGACGTACCACATTTATTAATCCAATCACCTAGTGAAGGACGTCTTGGTTGCTTCCAAGTTTTTGGCAATTATTAGTAAAGCGGCTATAAACATCTGTGTGCAGGTTTTTGGGTGGACATATGATTTCAACTTCTTTGTATAAATACCATGGTGAGTGATTGCTAGATCATATGGTAAAAATATGTGTAGTTTTTTTAAGAAACTGTTTCCCAAAGAGGCTGTACCATTCTGCATTCCCACCAGCAACATATGAGAGTTCCAGTTGCTTCACATCCTTGTCAGCGTTTGGTGTCGTCACTGTTTTGGATTTGGTATACTAATAGGTGTGTAGTGGCATCTCACTGTTATTTTAATTTGCATTTCTCTGATTATGTAAGATGTGAAGCATCTTCCATAGGCTGATTTGACATCTGTTTATCTTCTTTGTTGAGGTGTCTGTTAAGGTCTTTGGCCTGTTTAGTTTTTTAATTGGGTTATTTGTGTTATTGTTGAGTTAAAACAGTTCTTTGTATGTTTTGGATAATAGTTCTTTATTAAATGTTTCTTTTGCAAATATTTTCTCCCAGTCTATGGCTTGTTTTCTAATTCTCTTGATATTTCTTATGTAGAGCATACATTTTTTTTTTCATTTTAATGAAGTCCAGCTTATCAATTATTTCTTTTGTAGATTGTGTCTTTGGTGTTTTATCCAAAAACACACCATCATGCTCAAGGCCATCTAGATTTTCTCCTATGTTATCTTCTAGTTGTTTTATAGT